TCAGCCCCAGCCTGTCCTGGTGCCTGGGGTTGTTCCTCCCCAGGTGCAGGACCCTGCCCTTGCCCTGGTTGAGCTCCATCATGTTCCTCTCTGCCCAGCTCTCCAGACTGGCCAGGTCTTGACACATTTTGGGCAGACCCTGCTGAGAAGCAGGTTGCTCCGTGGGTGGAGGGCCAACCCGCAGCAGCTGCCCCGCTGACCTGCAGCTCTTTAGCCGCCGATCGCGGTTGCCATCTGCTGCTGCAGAGCACCCAGCGCCGCGAAGCCAAGTCCCATCCTGGGTGGAAGATCTGCCTGTCCTCAACCCACCACAGCGGACAGCGGAGGGGTAAGCTGCCAGGGCAGCGCGTGTCCTTGGTAAACATCGCTCTGCTTCGTCCTTTCAAATCCAACGAAGCCGGCTCCGAACGGCTGAGAGGGACCACGCTCTGCAGCCAAAAAATCTCATTGACGGGTCCCGTGGGGAATCCTGCTGCACGCATCCTCCGCTTGCCGTAACCAAGCGGTCTGAAAGCAAGGGAAGGGGGAAAGAACCCGTTAATTTGCTCGGGTTTGGTCCCCTCTTCTCTACTGCATCACCTGGCGATGAGCAGAGGCGTTCCAAAAGCTTCGCTGGATCCTTGAAGGACCTGGGAAGGAAAGCACACGTTGAAGACGGACAGAGAGGCCGTGCTTGTTCGACTTGTTTGCTCACTTCATCCTCCCTCTCTTCACCCAGCAAGTTTGACAGGTAGAGGTGGGAAGGAGGAGAAGTCCTACGAAATAAACTATTGGGAGGGACTCATCAGGCAGGAGGAGGAGGGTGCTTCCTTCACGGTGCTCTGCGGTGCACGGACAGGGCATGAAAAGGCACAGACAAAACCCAAAAGTGCTTCTGGGCGAGGTCGGTGCTGGAGGAGCGAAGCCGCGCTGGCTGATGGTCCCTCATGGAACAGCATCCCACCCACCTCGGGCAATGGCTGGCGGTTAGTACGGCTGGATTTACAAGAGGAGTTATCACAGAATCACAGAATAGTAGGGTTTGGAAGGGCCCTCTGTGGGTCACCCAGTCCAACTCCCCGGCCGAAGCAGGGTCACCTACAGCAGGCTGCACAGGACCATGTCCAGGCGGGTCTTGAATATCTCCAGAGAAGGAGACTCCACAACCTCCCTGGGCAGCCTGGGCCAGGGCTCCGTCACCCTCAGAGGGAAGAAGTTCTTCCTCATGTTCAGATGGAACTTCCTGTGCCTCAGTTTGTGCCCGTTGCCCCTTGTCCTGTCACTGGGCACCACTGAAAAGAGCTTGGCCCCATCCTCCTGACACCCACCCTGCAGATATTTGTAAGCATTTATTAGGTCCCCTCGCAGCCTTCTCTTCTTCAGGCTGAACAAGCCCAAATCACAAATAAATCACAAATCAGGAACCTGGAGCAAAGGGAGGGAGGCAAAGGGCAGCGTTTCTACTCGTTATTAAGCGACAGCCAGGCGCTTCTTCCCGCCCCGTGGAACTTTGATGTCAGTGACAGCACATCCTCCACCTGAATTTATGAAAATTCAGTAATATTAAACGCGGGCTTTTACCAGCCCTACCCATTTTTCTTTTTTTTTCAATCATCATATTTTCCTCTGCTCAAAAGTTGCCCTTTTCTTGGTTGTCACGTAGAAGAACAGGCCAAGGAAGCGGACACCGAGCAACCATGAAAAGTGAGTCTGCCAGCACAGGGAAGCACTTCTGCACCATCATCATCATCATCGCAGCGAAGAGAAACAACTGCTTTAGTTCCTCCACTTCATTTTCCGGAGTATTTTTTCTCCCTCTGTAAAAGCAGCCATAACAGTGCGCCCAGGCAAAGGCGCGCGACGGAGCCGGCCCCT